GACATGTCCGGGAAAATCCGGACGTATGGTAACCCTATATTCACTCCATAACAACAGCTCCAGTCTCACAGTGCTGGGCCTAGCTTCCCACTCTGGGCATTGCAGCCTAGTGCACAAGGTTGCAGCGCAGCTCAGGTTTGGCCTGTCCACCCCTTCAGAGATGGAAATGAAGGGTCAGACAGGCCAAATTTGATTGGCGTTGTGACCTAGTGCACAGGGTCATAATGCCACTCCAGTTTGGCCCATCTGCCCCTGCACAGATGGACCTAATTCAAAATCATGATTTCTGTGACCATCATGACCTCCATAACAAAATCATAGCCCCGCCTATCACTAATGGGAATTCTGAATCAATGAGAGTTCTTTTGTATAAGAAGGATGTTGATAAATTGTAGACGGTTCCGAGAAGAGCCACAAGAACGATTAAAGGATTAGAAAACATGCCTTATAGTGATAGTCATAAGGAGCTCAATCTATTTGGATTAACAAAGAGAAGGTTAAAGGGTGACTTGATTACAATCTGTTGTACCTACATGGGGAGTAAATATGCAGTAATGGGTTGTTCAATCTAGCAGAGAAAGTTATAATATGATCCAGTGGCTAGAAGTTGAAGCCAGATACAAAATTACACCTCCTTTCCAGCCTGAATTTAACAGTTAGGGTAATTAACCAGTGGAACAATTGACCAAGGGTTGTGGTGAATTCTCCATCATTGGCCATTTTTAAATCAAGATTAGATGTTTTTCTAAAAGACATACTCCAGGAATTATTTTTGGGAAAGTTCTATAGCCAGTGTTATACAGGAAGTCAAACTAGATGATCACAATGGTCCCTTCTGGCCTTGAAATCTATGAATCTGTAATATCCATAATCCTTTTCCAGCTCACTAACTTTTAGGTGTGCTGGCATCTAAGCTCTGGTAATATTTGGATGCTCATGTGTCTGAACTGAGAGTTCTTATTCCTGTCACAGAAGCAAACACTCAGAAACTTATGGAAGCTGAAGTCACTGTTTCAGCATTAACAAGTTATTGCTGGAGCCTTTCTTTCTTTAAGTCATAGTTTTATCAAACAACCCAGTATGTATTTCATAAACAAGCCTTTTGCAATTTTGTGTTTGAAGTACAAAAGACAATAGGGAAAACCTGTTAAATCTATTAAGATTTTAGCCCATTAGAAAAATAAAATAGCTAATTTTAATCCAAAGTGAATTTTAATGCTTTCCTGCTATTACTGAAGGAGTAGGTTAGCTAAACTCCCTAGCCCACACCATCAAAGGGGGGAAAAAGGGGAGGGAGTTGAGAAATAAATACAGGAATAGAGTTCTTACCCTGAGGAACGGTAGTCTGGTTTATTTCTTTCAGAGCGATCTGAGAAGAGAGGAAACATATTATCAGCACAAAAATGTTAATGTTCTGTAGCAACACTTGTACAAAGACCTGAAACAACTTTCACACCATACTATTAAATATTATAAAGGGACTATTCAAAAATAGAAGCTGGATTCTTTCTTTTACAGGACTGTTTGACTGCATTTAATTGGTTTGCCAGAGAGAAGATAAAATAACTGGAAATGTTTGTTAAATTCCCCTCCTCAAAACACATCCTTTTGCATGCTCATTCTTTTATCTATGGTTTATCAAGCTCCTTGCTAAAATGAAAAGGACTTTAGTTTAAGAAAGAAAAGCGAAAGGGGGGGGCGGGGAGAGGAGAGAAAAAGAAAAACCACGGATTACTCAGCGCAAAAAAATCATTCCATGATTCATAGCTGGCAGAGTTCCCTGACAGGATGGAGGGGGGGGAAAAATCAACCGTCAGTTGTTGCAACATCTGCAAATACACTGAATTCAGTGCTGCTCTATCATTAACTCTTTGCTTTCCTTGTAGTTTTAGGTGTGGAGTTCTTTTATGTTCTTAGTCAGGGCTTTGTTTATTCAGAGGAGTATTAGCGGAGGGAGTCTAATGAAATTGAGCAGCAAAATTTAAATAAAGTCTATTAGGTGCAGTCAAGGACTTAGCTAAATTGTACTGAAAAGTGCATATATTTGTTTCTTATACAGACCCACAGGCAATTTTAAAATACGAATTTTCACTTATTTTACTTTTCAAATATTCTTATGATGCAAAAAAATGAATATATTACATTAAAAACAAATAGAGCTATCCTGTCTAAAGTAAAGAGTTAGAATTATCATTCAAGCATGGCAAATATTTTATCTAATAGACTTGAATATACTAAAGATACTTGAACTCTTTGAAAGAAAAGTAAATGAGATTCACATACTATTGAGATACACATATTCCAAAGTTAGAGCTTTCTTGATTTATTTATAATACGGGATCCAATTTATAATTAGAAGCATGTTCTAACTGATTATATCCCTACTCATCACAGTTATTTGGCTCTTACATTCTGTGTGCGCCCTTTAGGATCAAAGCTCCTTTATTTGTATTAGTAAACTGTTGGTTTACTAAAAAGCCTGTCTAACCCTAAGAAACACAGATATCCGTGAAGATCCTCCTGTCCATTTGACATGTATTTTGGAATGTATTTTGAGATTTAAAATCTTGTATTTGAGCAACAATTTGTTCTCTGGTAGAACACAGACAAACAGAAAATATTTGTGTCAATTATTCTGCGTAACAATGCACAGTGGAAAAGTGTTTCCCTCTCCCATTTCTGCATGGGTTTGCATTTGATTCTATCTTGCTGAAGTTTGTCAGTAAATCTGATTATATTACACTTATTTCCACATCCAACTCATGTTCAGTTTACAGGTGCTCAGCTCCGATTCTCACAGCCCTGCAGCATATCATCTGTTAAATTTCTGCTATACTTTGCTCTCCATTTCATCACACCCCACCCTGCTCAGTTTGCTAGCTAGAATCAAATGTAATGTCTCAAACCGGAGCCACAAAAGCAGTTGCTCATACACACAAAGAAAGACTTGCTCATTCCATCCTTAAAATTTCCCAGGTAACTGCCTTACCTGTGGCTATTCAGGGTCAGAGGTTCCCACTTAGTCTACTTGCCATCTGTTGCTGGGATCCCAGTTTCCCTGCCATTTATGCAGCCATTTAACAGGAATATACTGACAGGACATTCCAAGTTGGTACAACATGAACGTGAATGTGTCAGCAACAGCGGAGAAAAAGAGTCAAAGAACATGTAAACAACAGCACCAGAGCTTTCCTCCAGAGCCCACTTCTGATTGGCAGATTTTCCATGGCCAGTCCCCACAACTGGAATGCTGTCATTCAGGAAGTTAATGCAAATCCCTTCTCCCTTTCATTCTTTGTTGAAACAGGAAATGGTACAGTTGTTTTTAAACATATTTTATTTACTGCTTAAAATAGAGAAAGAACATCATCCACCATACTTCTAGACTGAGCTTTATTTAAAAAATAATAATAATAATAATAATAAAAAACACACACACCATCAAGGGAATGTACGACTTCTAAGTAGCATAAAAATAAAAAAACCCACTACACTTCTTGAGGTTATAGGCTCATTGAGAAGTAAATAAGCTCTGTTTAACATCATTTGCAGCAAGAGACTCAGTCACAAAGGTTTTAATTTCAAAAGCGGCTTTACCCTAGTTTCCAATTTTGTTTCTATAATTTTGCAATTCTGGGCAGAATTTTACTGTTACAAATAACCTCAGGCCCAGCTGATGCCATTTAGATCTCTAGCTATCTGATTTGTGAGCACAGAATAAAAAGCTGATTCTAAAAAACTCTGAACAAAATGAAGACCCAATGTTTGTGCTGTCCCCTGCAAGTGAATCCCTGGCTCACAAAGGGCAGCATACAGGATTGAGGCCCCAAAAATATGATATATTTTATAGAAAACATGCCATGTAAGAGAACATATGAAAAGTCATGATTTGCTGAAACCCATTGTTCTGTACAAATATGTATATCATTAGTGTGTATGAAGTTATGAGATTTTGCTGTATGGTTGTTACTGAAATATGTTGTAAGTTTGAGAGTCTCTACTACTAGTTCCCCAGTGACAACAAGAGTGGTGATGAACCCCAAGAGGGTGTTAAGCGACCATTAATCAGCTGGGGAGTTGTAAACAAGGGGATTTACAATGCTGTAAGAGGGCTACACAAGCATAACACAATGGGGGATTGCTCTACATTGTGAGTCAGCAAAGCCCCCGGGACATGTATCAAGTGGAGTGCCCCAAGGGTCGGTCCTGGGGCCGGTTTTGTTCAATATCTTCATCAATGATCTGGAAGATAGCGTGGACTGCACCATCGGCAAGCTTGCAGATGACACTAAACTGGGAGGAGTGGTAGATACGCTGGAGGGTAGGGATAGGATACAGAGGGACCTAAACAAATTAAAGAATTGGGCCAAAAGAAATCTGATGAGGTTCAATAAGGACAAATGCAGAGTCCTGCACTTAAGACGGAAGAATCCCATGCACTGCTACAGACTAGGGACCGAATGGCTAGGCAGCAGTTCTGCAGAAAAGGACCTGGGGGTTACAGTGGACGAGAAGCTGGATACGAGTAGACAGTGTGCTCTTGTTGCCAAGAAGGCTAACGGCATTTTGGGCTGTATAAGTAGGGGCATTGCCAGCAGATCGAGGGATGTGATCATTCCCCTCTATTCAACATTGGTGAGGCCTCAGCTGGAGTACTGTGTCCAGTTTTGGGCCCCACACTACAAGAAGGATGTGGAAAAATTGGAAAGAGTCCAGCGGAGGGCAACAAAAATGATTAGGTGGTTGGAGCACATGACTTATGAGCAGTAGCGTAGCTAGTGGGGTGCAGGGGAAGCAGCCGCCTCCCCTCAGCACATTTTCGAAAAGCGGCTCCTTAGTTAGGGGTTACCATGGCACCAGTGGGCGGGGCCCAAGCTCGGCTCTGAAGCTTGGCTTGCCGGGCCGGCGCTGGGCTCCTGCAGGCAAAGGGGGGGCAGCACGCCCGGAGGAGCCATGGGGAGGGAGCGGCACAGCCGGAGGAGTGAGGGGGGGTGCAGCATGGCGGCCCGCGGCACGGCCGGCAGCAGCCAATGGGGGGGCGGTGAGCGCGGCCGGAGGAGCAAAGCACGGTGGCCGGCAGGCGCGGCCGGAGGAGCGGGGGAGGCGCAGCATGGCGGGCCGCAGCGCGGCCAGCAGCCATGGGGGGGTGGTGGACCGCAGCCGCTTCCTCCTCTGCCAGAGCCAGGCAGCGAGCGTGACCAGCTCCTCCTTGCTGAGCGAGGTAATGGTGATTCAGTGGCGAAGCCTCCCTGCGGGGAGGGCAGAGAAGCGGATCAGTCCCCGGCCTGGGGCAAAGCGGCTGCCGCCGTCCCCCTCTTGCAGGGCACACAGGCCAGCCTCAGCCTCTTGGCATCGCCCGGCCGGAGCCTGCTGCGGGGCTCCTGCCAACCAGCCCCGGGCTCTCCCACTGGACGGGGCCACCCAGCCTGGCAGCTAGAGCACCAGCACGGTGCGCACTGAGCGAGGCCCACCCCGGGCAGGCAGAGGGGGGTCACTAGTGCCCATCCCCACCCCCAGTAGCCTCAGCCCTTGGGGACCACCCCCCTCCCCCACAGCGGGCAGTGCCAGGTGCCAGCGGTAACTCACGAGTGAGCGGGGCAGCGGGGCAGCGGAGCAGCTCCCAGGACGCAGGCGAACAGGTGGGGTAACTTTTCCCCAAGTGCTCAGCTCAGCCAGGCTGGGAATAAGGGCCCCGCGCCGCCGCCTCCGGGCCCACTCAGCAGGCAGCCAGCATCGCCACGCGCCCCCCAGCTGGTCTGCACCAGGAGGGCGAGGAGCGGGCGGAGGAGGAGCCAAGGGGGGGGCGCCTTTTTTATGTTTACTCCCCCTCCTCTTAGAACCTGGCTACGCCATTGCTTATGAGGAGAGGCTGAGGGAACTAGGATTGTTTAGTCTGCAAAAGAGAAGAATGAAGGCGGATTTGATAGCTGCTTACAACTACCTGAAAGGGAGTTCCAAAGAGGATGGATCTAGACTGTTCTCAGTGGTAGCAGATGACAGAACAAGGAGTAATGGTCTCAAGTTGCAGTGGGGGAGGTTTAGGTTGGATATTAGGGAAAACTTTTTCACTAGGAGGGTGGTGAAGCACTGGAATAGGTTACCTAGGGAGGTGGTGGAATCTCCTTCCTTAGAGGTTTTTAAGGTCAGGCTTGACAAAGCCCTGTCTGGGATGATTTAGTTGGGGATTGGTCCTACTTTGAGAAGGGGGTTGGACTAGATGACCTCCTGAGATCCCTTCCAACCCTGATATTCTATGATTCTATGTCTGGGCTAGTGTTTTTCAGGCATATGGACTGAGGACATAAAATAGAGGGTAGTGGCATCATACCTTTGCCTTTCTCCTCCCCCACCTATGCTGTAAGCAACAAG